AATTCTTCACTTGGAAATTTTGTCCCAGTCGGGTGGGGGACAGGAGAAATGCACTTTCCCTGATTTCTCCTCTCTGCAACCTGAAAGAGGTAGGACATAGAAGAGCTTTCAGGCAGGGAAGTTGTTCTGATCAAGAACAGGCTTTTTGGAGTAAATCGCACAAATGAGTCTGAGAGTCTAATAATTTTTCCAAAAGAACTAGATTGAGGCAGGGGAAAATGCCACTGGGTGACGCAGAACTGGAGTACGAGGAGAAACAGGAAGGGCTTGTGCTGCCCCTCATGTTAAACAGCTCAGATGACCCCAGTCAGCACAGAAGAAGCCTTTCCAGAAAGTGAGCTTGCAGCCTCTCCAAGCCTCAGAGGAATCACCAACCAATTTTTTTTTTTTTTTTAAAAGCAGATGCACTCCATTACATGGCCATCAAATCCCTCTGCAGTGTCTGCCCAGTCCCCTGCAGCCTGCAAGTGCCCCAAGCCCTGCGGAGCCAGCAGCTCCCACCCCAGACCCTCCATCCGCACCTCTCCTGGGGAGGGGCCTTCGCCAGGGAAAGGCCAAGGTATGTGGGCTCTGGGCTCCAGGCATTTTCACCAAAGCTAACAGACCAGTTTTTCCATCCCCTAAGGTGTCTGCCTGAAATTTACTGTGATATCATCTTGTACGCAACAGAAACTAAGAGCACCCGAGGTGCGCACATCTCTGCCACAGCCTCCTTGCCTCAGGGTTCTGTGGGTTTAGTGAGACCGTGTGTTAGCCCTGTCACTGGAACCAACCTTCTGAAATCCTGGCTGTGACTACCATGGGTCAAGGTGGAACAGCCCCCAGACACCAACTGCAGAGGGATGAACGAGCAGAGGGAATTCTTGCCTTCCTCCCTCCCTCCAAGCAGAGAAGGCGTTAATGGCCCAAGAACAGGTTGCATTCCCCCATCACCAGCAGCATTCACTTAATTTGTAAAACATATTGCTGTAAAATATAGCGCTGTTACTAGCATGATAAGAACTGAAGAATAAAAAAAAAAAGTCCATAGAGGAAGACTTCCAGGCAGCTTGAAGAACAGCGTTCTTGTGTGAGAGCATCAGAACTGGTCATGCTTTCTTGAGTTTGGTAACCAAGAAACTGAATTTGATTTTATTCTCCCCAGCTGTAGGTTCCAGGATGAGACTCCTGTCAGCATTACAACCTAGTTATGAAGAGTTCCTGGCTCCAATAAACCAGACAAGCCTAAAATGGGTTCTTCTGAGTCACTGCCCATCTTCCATAGGTTCTACCTTCCTGTTGGCCATACAGCTGCAACCACGGCGAGCTGTGCCAGGCAGTCCACCTAGCACAGCACCGAGTACCAGCGACATGGAGGCAGAGATGCTTATGAACATGCTTAAAATACTCTTTGAAAAAAATAATTTGAAGACATGTAAAGGGGAAGATGAGCTTCTCTGGACACTGCCTTTGTTTTAACTTTCAAGCTTTGCCAATCCCTCTCCTGTTGCAAAGTGAGAAGTTTCCCAAACTCTTCCCCCAACAAAACTCACTTCAACTTCTGAACACACATATCCCGGAACATTACAGAAACAGCACCTGTACCAGCACACTCACCAAGCCACACAATGAAAGACTTTGTGTTAGAGTCAGAACTTTCTAGAGGAGGAGGAAGCAAAGGAGGAATTAAAAATAGAGGCAAAAATGCATGGTATGCACCCAAGGGTCTGTTCCTGTGGCAAATTCAAGTGATAATGGAATTTTACACTGGACTAGGAAATGGCGTGCTATTGAAAAATAAATGCCAAGACCTTTAACACAAACAAATGTCTATGTGAAACTGTGGATATTTATTTTGAGAATGGCAGCCCTGACTCTGATCAGATAATTTAATTCTATTTACACGGTGACTACCATGCTAAATAATCCAGTTTAAAAATACACAGAGGTAACTGGGCAGACCTACACTGGAGTAAGAGAAGTCCGTTCTCAAAAAACAAGGTAGGAACCAACAAGAGATTAAAACCTACAGCATTAATATTCATATTGCTATTGCTATATTTTATGTTCAATCATTGTAACCTATTTTACACTAGCATTGTTGATTCTGCTTTACCTATCACACTTGTCCCTCCATCAAGAGTCCTGTAGACATCTGCAAATCATTTACAATAGTTACGTCAATGCGATCAACAACCAATGCAATCAACAGTCTTATAATATCAACGCTAATGTTCTCTTTGATTAGAGAATATTATTAATTCTGATTTTGTGATGCACTTCAATGGCCACAGAATAAGTGAACAGTCTTCTTCAAGTACACAGATCTTGCACAATTGGCATCTGTACCAACATCTGCAGAAAGTGCCATGGAGAGACATGCTCCAAATGTCACTGTCAGTCTATCTGCAGTTTATTAACTATGCAACAGAACAGGGAATGGTGGAGAAGCCTTCAAGTCATGACAAATTAAGACATGAAGAGGGAATGTTCAGAAGCCACATAACTTCAGTAGCGACAGATAATGCATGAGAAACCAGTCCATCTTTGCCACTGGGAAGCACCTAATACTACTAGCATATTCTTGACAAGTAGGAATAACCTTTTCTTTTGACCATGTTATCCAACATATACAAAACCAAAAATCTTCAAACACACATTTCCCCTTCACTTTTCACACTTGCAGTATTCTAGTAATTCCTGTAGCTCATAATGAAGACATTTATTTTAAAGGGGCTGTCAATAAATCAGTAGTTAGTGTCCTCCGGAGAGGCAAATGGATGACAGAACATCAGTTCTCAAAGCCTCTGTCTAGTTCATGAAGATTCTGTTTACCATAGTCACAAAACCTGGAGTGGTGGCTTGCCTTGTTTTATCTCCAATTCTACCAGGTAGGACCACTTCTTAATAAGTAGTATTTTAAATTTGAAATGTATAAGTAAAATAACCTGGTCCAAATTATTTAGATTATTAACAAGAAATAAAAAGAAAAGCAAATCAGTCCCTTCTTCATGTGTGGATGTTGCTATAGTCTCTGTGAGTGTATATATTGTATAGAATTTTACCTGCTATATTCTCCACATGAGCAGCTGCCACAGGCACAAAAAGGTTGGCTGTATACTGTTTTCTAATAAATAATTTAGTGCGCACAAGTATTTTAAACAGGTAGCTTCTCAATGAGCAAATACAGCAGTCAGACAGGCACTGTCACTGTCAGAAGTCGGTGAACTTTCCAGGCTTCAACATAGGTAATCATCTTAGCAGTGGAAAATCACGACCTAATCAAATTTCCTGTGCCAAGCGAGTCTTTTGTAGCTGTAGCAATTAATGCTTTTTTTCTGTAAATGCTACAAAGCAAACAAAAATAAGAAACCAGCAAAGAAACTTACATGGGAAAATTTCCCATATTTGAAATACATTTCAAATAACTCAATACATCCCATTAAAAATAAAGGACTTCTACTGAAGTTATTTGAAAAAACCACTCTTCAGTTGATGGCAGCATAAATTACACATTACGTGAAACATACAGAAATTATGACAATCAGATTATGGGGGATGTATCATGTTTTGGTCACCATATTTAGATACTTAGAATTCTGATAAGGAATAAACACTCATCGTCACATGCACCATGACTGAATAGTTAACTCAAGCACATTAATTATTCCATGCCCACACTTGTAATTCAGTTAACAATGTGACCATGTGAAAGTTGTCATTTTCCAGACTCACTTTGCTTTTGTTTTCTCCTCTGTCTACATGCTTACTGGAAATAAAAACCAATGAAAACACCCAGGTAATATACATTCTAAGATAATTCTGTAAAACAATATTTTAACCTGAGGAGGATTAGTGTACTGAGAAAATCCATATGATGTAGATCACAGAGTTAATAAGTTTGCATGCATCTGAAATTACTGCTTTGTAACTGCATAATGAGAAGACAAAAAGCATTTATGTCCTAGGACACACAGACACCACACCCTTTCAACCCACTGCTCTTTTGTCTCACAGCTCTGTTAACCAGTCAGCTGCTGCCAGATGCTCTGGCTTAAAATGGTCACAGATGGTCAGTTGTCCAGTTAACAGACCAGAATGCTCTCCTCGAATCTCCCCTAAAATAGTATCTTACTGTATGTAGCAGATGAGAATATCTGAGCATGGTCAAGAGGCCATTTGACCTACTTAAGACTGCAGGTCAATTTTGATAATTTACTCAAGATTCATTCTCCACACTAGCCCTAAGTAAACTATCTCAACACACTTCAAACACTAAGTGTAAATCTTATGTTATGTTTGCTGCATTACAGATCACATCTTCTTATGAAAGAAATTCTCAGGCTATATATGGAAACAGAAGCACCTAGAAGGGATGATACCAAGACATCTGGACTAATACACAGCGCCAGAGCTACAGGAGAAATCTGATTCAGATGATCAGTGGGAAGCTTCCCGAGTCCCACTGGAGTCTCTGTGCCCTGATCTTTGTATCCAGTCCTGCAAATATTTATCAGTACTCCTTAAAAATACTAACAGGATAAGAACATGCACAAGGTCTACTTTCTACTATGGTAAGCAAGCAGTGCTTGTTGTGCAGTATAGCTGTGACAAAGGCTACAAGTAACAAAGAAACAGACTAGAAATATCAGAGCAAAATCTGACATTTTGTATTAATCTTTCACTGTTACTAGATCAGGCATAAATACACAAAAGCTGAAAGAACAGAGTATTAAACCGAATATTAAAAAGACATGTCATTTACTAGCAGTATTTACTAAGTATGAGTTCTGTATTTTGTGACAAGTAGTTGGGTGTCTTACTTCCAACTTACACAAGATTTATTTTGGGAGAGGATTACTCCATCAGCAGCATAACTTAAGCTTGCAAAGCTTACTGCTGGGAAAATAGATGGCCAAGCCTCAAGTTGTTGCCTTACAGGTCTAATGACTTAAGCTCTCTATGATGTCCTTTGACTTCACTGTCTTCCAGAACAGTTAAGAAATATTTTATATACTCACCTAAACCACTGACAGTATACTCGAGATCACTGGCATCCAACAGAATTGGTCCATTCTCCTGTTGGCCTTCTTCTTTGTAGTACAGCTTGTACCCTTGAATAGCTGCAGTGTCCTCAGAGTCCTGCTGCCACTGTACTGTAATGGTTGTACAGTTCATTGGCTCCAAACGCAGCTCAGGAGACTTTGGTGCTGGTTTTAGAGAAACATATATAATATTCTTATGTTCTAGAAACAACTAATTTTCATGCAAAAATCTGTGTGCTCATCAGCCCAAAGTTCACTCAAGACTTTGATTCTAGCTCACCTGTGTACTCACATAATTATTCTTTTACTATATGTCTGACTCTCTATAAGCTAATCTAACAACTTAATTTAGGATAAATCAAAATAGAAATATTTTCTAATTCTGCATCTTAATAAATAAATAAATCAAATTTAAAAGGTAGTTATTTTCAAAGAAAAACAAAAACACTCCAAAGACAGTTATAAAACTACCTCCTGTGTTAAAGTGAGCCAGAGTAAATGTGATTAACACTTCACCAAATGCTAAATTCAACAGAGCAGTCAAAACTCAGTGAAATCCAAAGTGGGCGGATGTGGACTACAGCTAAGAAATCAAGTTACAAATTCAAATCTACATCTTTGTCAAGCCATTCATGCAAAGTTGAATGCTCTTCTGCATGACATTATTAAATAATGTAATCCAAAACTCAATTATAACAACTTAAATTAGATAGAAATATCAAGTCAGTTTGCATATTCAAAACATATGTGCATTTTTTTTTGTAATACAGACATACGTGCACGGACTTAGACCCTTTAAGTACCTGTATACTCTGCTCATGCGTAATGTCGCCATCTGCAGAAAGGCTTTTTACACTGAACAACAGTAGGGCTTGGGGTTGTTGCATTTTTGAAATCAAATTATATAGAACAGAGTAAAACTGTGTTATAATTGGAAGAGAGTCTACAAGCTAAAACATTTGAGCAGCTCACAAGCATGAGTTAGTTTCCTGCCTCAATGTCAAAGATGTGAACATCAACATGTGGAAACAATCAAAGACTGACACCAAAAGAATAGATCAGCTTGTCCTTCTCCTGTCACATATAAGGCCTTTCATAAGACAGATTAGTTCCTCTTCAACTTTTGATCCTGAAACTATGTATTAACTGCACTGAATGTATTAAAGGAATCAGGAGTTTCTGCAGCTTATGCACAGAATCATGGTTAGAACACTACTTTCTAGATCACCAGAACAAGAACACGTAAGGAGAAAACCTATTTCCCATCCTTGCACTACCTGTCAGAAAAATTTGTAGCCTTCAGATGAAGCCTGCAATTGACCCCATCTCCAGGCTGCTGGTCAAGTTAAGAATTACCTTTCACGCTTGTAGCCTTGGGAGTCCGGTGGGAAGTCCACAAAGATGCCTCTCCCCAGCCAATCCTTGTGGCAGCAGTGATACGAACCAAGTAGACACTGTCAGGCCTCAGGCCCTCCAGGAGATACTCATCTGAAGTCCCTGGAAGCTCCAAGACTTGGATTTTGGTCTCTGTGCTGAGACGGAAAGACAGACGGTACAGGACCACCTGACCTCTCCTGTATTTTGCAGGAATTGGCAGCCAAGAGATGAGAATATCTGTAGGACTCCTGCTTGTCAAACTGATTTCAGGGGCTCTCAAGGGAACTAAAAAGGAAAAAATAAAGCTTTTGAGCTCAGGGAAAAGAGAGATGGAAAATTCTCATCTGACACCTTAGCCTACGATGAGGTGCCAGTAACATAAGAATAAATAATTCGACAAATTTTGTAGATTTGTTTATTTTAGGGATAACTTGACACTGCTCATACTTCTCACCTTCTGCATGCAGTATAGCCTTCGCAAGCTCCTTTCTGCAAGAACCTCAACATTTTCTTCTCTTATTGCTGCCAGCAGTAATCAAAGGCAATCAGCACCAAACTGACAGTCAAGGTTAGATGCAGCAGCTTAAACCCAGAGTCTAGACAACAACCTGCACTGTTGAAGACTCAGTGCATGTTTTCTTCTGCCAACCATGCAATGAGGGTAGTAACTACCGGCAAAGAGACAGGCAGACAACTGGGAGTGGCAGTGTTCCACACCGCCAAAGCTTAACCTTGTCAGAATTTATTAATCCGTTCTAATGAACTATTTATTGTTGTCATGATGTTCAGATTAGTTAAAACACTGCAGAGAAATAACTTTGTAGGGTCTTTTATGAAATTCTGATTCTACTAACAAGCACATGTGAAGAAAAAAAAATTTTTTTTTTTGGTATAGCAAATTTTTATTCCAAATTTTCCTTCAAAATTTGGAAAAAAAAAATGCAGTGGGTGTGCAGTTTGATTCATGTTTCAGATGTCCAAGAGAGAGTCATAGAGACTAAATCCCAGGCTATCATCAATTTCTCAACACAGGGAGTTCTTGAAAATCTAGAATAGTTATTTACATGATTTAATGAAATGTCTTTCAACCCAGGAAAAGACACCATGCAATATACAAAGTTGCCCTGTCAGAATGTTATTTTATTCTCATTCTTTCATTAGCTGGCTCAGTCTCACATTGTGTGTATCCACAAGTCTCACTGATGTCAATGGAAACTTGGGAATCCTTAAGAGCTGTTAGCACTAGATTGCACACTTCTTCAATGAAAATAAAAATGTTCACCAAAACCAGTGTTATTTGCCTTACCATCTTCAAGGGTGTGCTGAGTCACATGATCTGACATCTGACTGGCTCCCAGAGGCATATAAGCGACAATATAGAAGGTGTAGTTGCTGGCTGGCTCCAAGTCGTCAATAATGTAATGGGTTGTATCATTTCCAATGACCACTTGGTACTCTTCATTATTCAAACCTGGCATGAAACAAGGGTTAGACAAACAAAAATTCCTGACAAGCCCTAAACACGACAGTATGTCAGCTTTACAATCTTAAAGTTATTTCATGTTCTTCCCCAGCCTACCTCTATTTTTTCAACACTACTGAGTAAAAGTTCTTTTATACACAGGAGTAACTGTGTCTTGCTGCGGCGCAGATGATGGTGTTTCAGGATTTTCCTGAATAAGGGATGCTGAATGCAATTCTAAACCCTATTTAGAATTAGTCACAACAAACTGTGCCCAATGTACAGTAACACAACAGACAAGCTCTAATAGCCTTATCATTCATACCAAACTTCTAAATCTATTTGTTTAGAGTCAGGGAGGTTTTTTTCAAAACCTATTTACAGTCTTTCTATAGCAGACTGCAAGGAATGCGAGGGCTCCACTCCATCAAAAACAAAACAAACCCCCCCCCCCCCCCCAAAAAAAAAGAAACAAACAGAAAGAATTTATTCAGCAAAAAGATCTCATTTTAGCCCTGTGAATTGTAGTACATTTGATTGACACTTTTTTTCTTTAATTTGGAGAAAGGCCAATAAGAACAGAGGAGAATGAGCTTCAAAAATGTTTGTCTCCTTAGTGAGTTGTTAAAAAAAAAAAAAAAAAAGAAAGAAAAGAAAAAAATTCTCAGCAATTCACATTAAAATATGCATAGCAATGCATGCAGCAGTCCGTTTCTTTGTTGGGCTTTATTACTATAGAGGAAGGCTATAAAGCAGAATAAGTGTGGTCAAAGCTGCTGTGTTAACGAACAATTCACACCAAGTGCATGTCAACTTAATCAAAACTCTCTAAGAGCCAGCTCCTCCTCTTCACAACTGAATTTATAAACAAAACCAAAGGCAAATTCCACCATTAAGTTTTCCCACATTTATGAATTAACTTGATAGCATTTTAATTAGACAAGATTAGGAGCATCTCACAACAGACTAGTTAATGGCTTGTTAATTAGGAATTGCAAGGCACGATTTCTGACCTGCTAAACAAGATCCTTGAGCTCAAATTAAAAGGACTTGTTCTCTCATTGAATGGATTGCCAGGCCTCATGCAGAGGCCCTAATGAAACAGCCATAATAGAGAACAAGGCTTGCCTTCCACCACAATCAGTGTTCCCTTTGTGTCTTTTCTAAATCACTAACAAGGAATTAACACACTCCAACATGCACGCTCATCAGACTCTTATTCTTCTTGCTACTATGACCCCGACTTGAATGTAAAATATTCTGCTTAAAGAAACAAAACAAAAAAACCCAAAAAACACCTGTTAGTTTCTTCAACTAACTTGATTAAAACACTAACTTTTTTTTTTTTGTAAATAGGAAAGAGGACCTGAAGCTGTTTTTACAGTGAAACATCAGAATACTCAAGTTGTTAAATTAAACAAGGAGTGATGGTATCTTTTGTATTCAAAGCACCTACCACATTTGTGAAGTCTACAGAAAAAACTCTACAAAACTGCAAATGATTAGTGTATTATCCAGTTTTCCTTTCTGTTCAAAGTTTGTGGAATCATAAGCATCAGTACAACCGAGAAGCCTTGGCAAGCACTGCTTGTCTTTTGACATAAAATGCTCTTTACTCACACTGACAAATGTGGTTCCTAACTAACACAAGACAGCGATACATGAACATAAATGCATTAAGTAAAAACTTACACATGAAAATCTTTAAGCAAGTAAGATATAGTCAAGTCAAATACATCTGAGATCATTTTTAACCTTCATTAGGATCTGAAACAAGGTGTGAGGGCAGACTGGGGAAAGACAGGCTGAAAGGAATACTGAAAGCAAAACATTCATACAAACTGTTTATATGAATACACCATTATCCAGAATTCTTACAGAGTAAATAAGGTGTTGACAATGTCAACAGTTATGTCAGCTCCTCTACGGCCTGGTATGGTGTGAATGTCATCAGAAGATTTTCCTTAACATTTAATTTGCATTTCTTTAAATATAGTTGCTTCTTAATTTACATTACAGAGATGGCTGATGTGATACTTTCTCTCAAAGGCTTTTAGGTTTTTAATAATGCCTTTGATATTGGGCAACATCCTCAGAAAGGTTTACACACTGTCAGGCAGAATGCAATTATTTTTAGAGTACAGTCCACTTTTGAGCCTTTTTAAGCTCATCATCTTCTCTACAAAACAAGACAAAAGTTTTATGTCCTGATGCACACATTCTGGTACTATCCAGTCATGTTACTAAAGAAAAATGCATGCACATCACCTACATTTGCATTCCCACCACTGTAATGACTCCTCTTAATACTTAATACTCCCCACTCTCCCTGTGTGGATTTCTTTACTAATGTGAAAGGATGCACAACAGCATTATATTAATTAAAGTAAATATCACAAGACAGTCTGGAAAGATGAAAAAATTGGTATTTGAGAAAACAAGTTTGAATAAATCAGAGGGGTTTTTTTTGGTGGTTGCTTTTGTTTGGTGTTTGGTTTGGTTTTTAAACCAAGACAAGCTACAGTCTCATTTCACAAGATAAAACCTTTGGATAAGCAAGCAAATGAAGCAGGACTGCAAAACTATTTTCCAGAAAACACGTTTTAGAAGATACCTCCTTTCACTACTGTGAAAGAGTGCTTCCTGCACAAATACACACTTCCCTAAGGACAGTTTTCCAGTTTTCTTTGAAGTTACCCGGTCTCTGCTCTCTACACTGGCACTGGACATAAATTACCCAGATAACTTATCTAGTGTGACTTTATTCATATTAGCTTTAAGAGGGGGTTGTGAGCACAATACCTCAGTGACTGAAAGTGTAGGGGGTAATTTCCCGCACCTCTTGTCCTCTTTATCTTTTAAAACTCTTTCCTTCCTTCCTTCAGACTAAATTCTCTTGCATCCTGAAATATCCCACTTGCAAAAGCAAAGGCAGCTACTCCTGCAACAGCATTAGAGCAATTAAGCTGTCCTTCCTGTCCTCTGCTGAGCAGATGGCAGACTGGTATTGCACACAGCGCTGAGCATCTGCAGTCCTGTCCTTGAATAAACCACTTACTGAATAGAAATGGAAAAAGACATCACTCCCAGAAAACAGAGCTGCATTCCAGCCTAGTTTAAGCCATACACCTAACAGTTTTTCAAGTCCTTTGGCAATCACTTTTCCTGCTTATGAAAAATGGCTGTTTCCTATCACCTTAAAGCTTACCTTAACTTAAAGCAATTCCATAATACTAAGGGATTTTAAAATGCTTAGTTACTAATTTTTTTCTATCTATTCCCTTTTATATATGAATTTACATATCATTTCAGAGACTAGGATAAACTATTCATGGCTATTTCAGCATATTTAGAGTTTGAGTATACTTTTCTTATTGTAGGAGACCAAGGAGTGAAAGCAGAGCAGATTTTACCATTCAGACAATATTTTTCCTGAGAAAGAACAGTTAAGCCAATAAAGCATCAATTATTCTACTCCAAAATATATGAAATCCAGTAAAGTCACTAGAATTTGGGGAACTAGACAAAAAAAGCTGTCTCTGGTGAAAAGTTCAACTCTGTAAGCCTCCAGGATTCTGTTGTATGCTCTGAACTCCCCTGCCAACCACACACCCAGAAGAGAGCAGGCAGAAGCTCCTGCCGAGGCCAGAGGGAAACCCAGATAGTAGTACAGGGGCCCCAGGTTTTAAAGCCCATTCCTAACTTCAAAATCTGCTCACTGGAGCAATCGGACAAGAGCGAGTTGGAAGAACACTCAGTCCCACAAATGAGATGATGTGGCAAAAGCCTTTTTCCCCGAGCATGCCTGTGGATTACAATATGCATTTGTACGCCAGTACACTCTGATGATGTTACGAACCACGCACATTTGACAGTCTGTGCAAGGACTTCTTACTACATACAAGTAGTTAAATAGCATTTCAGTCAAACTGCTTACCTTCTGCTTTCATGTAATGCACGGAGTATGCAATCACTTTGTCTGAATTATACAGTGGCCTCTCCCACGCTAGCAGGATCGCTGAGCTTGACATCGTTTCAGCATGGACATTGTACGGTGCACTGGGTCTGTCTTCTGACATAACTACTGTAAGCCTGGCCCTGGAGAGAATAGAGCCTTGGCTATTCTCAGCCATGCACTGATAAATGGCATCGTCTTCAGGAATGATCTGGTTAATGACCAATTTACTGAATCAAAAAGGAAGAAAAAGGGGGAAACAGCTCATACAGTGGAATAAAATTAGCTCTACATAATGCAGCAACAGTTATGTTTGCCTCTGCCTCATGAGTTTAGGATAATTGACTTACATGCCACAAACTTTTCTATTAGAAATAGATACACAGCTGTGAAATTTAGCAACTTGAAGTATTCCTTGAAACCTGCCGTGTTTACATTTATGCCTGCAAAGCCATGCACAGTGAAAACACGCCTGCAAATCTATTCCCCACCTGCAAAAAGCACAACCTCACGGCTGTCATTTCTTAACCAACTCTTTAAAATAAACGGTTCACTATAGCGAAGTAGTGAAATGGAGCTTCAAATAACTAGCGAGATTCTGGTCTCTGCTACGCTACTGTAAATCTAGAGCAACTCTGTGGTGAAACCACTTCAGTTTACCCCCCAGGTAAGGCAGCAATCACAAAAGCTTTGCTGAGGATTTTAGGTATTGACTAATCTGCATTCCTCCTGCCAAGGAAATGTCCATAACTACATTTCATGTCCAATTTCATGTTTACTTGAGTTATATCTTGCTTAGCTATATTTAGCTACTGGAATTTCATCCTTTGGTAGCACATCACTAGCCCAGCTCTCATCCAGCAGTTGTCATCTTACCTGTTGTACATTTTTATTCTACCATTGGAATGTATTCTCCTTCCATTTTTTAACCAGGAAATTTTGGGGGCAGGATTTCCTTCTGCCTGACAAGCAAAACGAGCAGTGCCAGCTCTAGGCCTTGTTAAACTTTCCGGCCATTCCACAAATGAGGGTGGAGCTACAGATAAGTAACAAGGAAAAAAAAAAAAACAAAAATCAAGCCCACACAAATGCAAGGACAGTCAGAATAATAATGGATTTTCCACATGCAAACCTCTCCTCAGGCCACTCAAATACACATATACCCATGTAGAAAGCACGTTCCATGTAAACAAAGCACATTTGTTTGAAGATATATACAGTCTGCACAGATAGCAACATTTCTACACATTTTTGTGCATGCATTATGAATACAAACAAATAAAACTCCAGCCTATGACATACTGCTCACGAAGCATACATTACATGTTTCTACTTTGTTACAGGATTCTTTTCTGTGTTGAAAGCCTGTTTTCCCAGAGCAAACATTGCACCTGGGTATCTCCAAGCAAGTGCAAATGAACTGCTAGTTTATAACTCAAACACTGAGTAGCTGACACTTCTCATCTAAGTCAACAGGCAGAAGAAGGCAGCCACAGTTCTGTGCTCTGCTTCATCTCTGCAGTCTCCCTACAGCCCTTGGTGCATTACGAGAGAAAAATTCAACCAAGTATTAGCACAGCTCAAGACACACAAGCTGTTCAAACACACTGTGGAAGTCAAAGCAGGCTCACCCAGCACCGTGAGAGTTGCCATTGCTACTGTGAAGTTTCGTGTGCCTGGAATAGTGGCTCGGCAGACATACACGCCTGCATGCTGCACCTTCACATCAGAGATCATGAGATTCCCATTTCCGAGGACACGGGTATTGAAGACGTCAATGGACTTATGGTCTATTTGAAAGAGTGGAAGAAGTGTGGTTACAAGGCTGCTTGCATTTGCTTTGCTCTTCACCCCAGTTAACTTAACCATTGAGATGGGCACGTCTCACCCCTGGTAAGTGGTTTATATCTGAAATCCACCTTCACAGCTAAAAAGCTAATGCCATTTTCCCATTATTCTGCCCAACTGTCTTGCACAATGATTCAGTCCATCACTACCAACATCTACATCATCTTTACAAACAGGGATCATCTCTGTCTGAATTACACCGGTGATGAAATTAGTATATTGGATTACCATATATTTTCTTCTATTTTCACAGTAAATGCTCTATGACTGTTCGTTAACTTTTTTCTTACTTGTTTGTCTATAAAAGCCACTGAATCAACCAGGAAATATATGTTTATTTCTCCTACTTTTAGAAACAAAAATGAAAGAAAGCTTTTCATGCTTTTGCAGGTACAGTCCTGACTTTCACATTTAGGTACATGTCAGAATAAAAACAGGTAGTTTTCACAGAAAAATGTGATGCACTGAGGAATGTTGTTATTCTTATTGCATTCCCTCTCTTCTCAGGGGTTTGACTATATACATAGTCCAAATGGCCCATTAACACAAGGTCCAAATCACATTCACATATTGCTTCTAAGAAGAAGAGGAGGAGAAACATTTACAGGATTGTTTCACAGGATGCAACCACTCCATCCCGCCCTAAGTCACCAACTCCGATCCTACTCCGAGTCGCAGGTCGCTGCCGGCACTTTGCCCCCACTGGGCTGGGGGCCACGTGGGACTGACAGCAGAAGTGGGGAGTCCAAAACCTCAGAAACCTCAGGACTTCTTAACAGCACTTCGGAAGTATGCAACTAAAAGCGTTTCACTTATCCTACCCTAACCTACTAATCATTACCTACTACGTGAAGCCTCAGAACAGTAACCTAATTGCTGGAAACCCTTCTTTCCAGTGTCACTTCCTCTCCACAGGCTGAAGGTTGTACGCTGTAATTTTAAGACCTACCTAACCGGCTCCATGAGATGATTGGCTTTGGATTCCCTGTGGCTACACACTCCAGAATGACAGTTTGATGAAGAGATGCCGTAATATTTTGCGGACCAGCTATTATAGATGGCTTGTGAAAAGGCTTCAAGTCTGAGGCTTTGGAGGGGAAAAAAAAAAAAAGTTTGAAAAAAAAAAATCAAAGAAAGTGAGAACAATTAAACAAAACCTCAATTAAATATTAAATAAAACATGACTTTTTTTTAAGGATTCTGAAAATTAAATTTACACCAAAGCCTTATTTCGATAATTGTGGAAACTTACAGTGAACAATATTTTAGTGACAAGATACAAGCAAGCAAAATTATTATCCGGGCAAGTGGTTCACAGGACAGTTACAGCTCTTCAACTCACCTAAGTGTTTTTGCTATAATGTAAAAAAGAATACAATGCCACTGAAAAAAATCTCCCCATGGTGAGTACCTGGAATAACACTCAGCAATGCCTCAGCGCTTTTACGTCTATTGGCTATTGTTGTGGCAACACATCGATAATTCCCAGCATCCTTCTGTTCAACACCGTAGATCTGAAGAACTCCTGTAGGTAGAGCAGTTATCCTGTCACAGAAACAAAAGAAAGAAAAGTAGATGAGCATTCAGTGAACACGATCATGGAATTAACGACTTGATTTACCAACAGCCATTGCTACACTGACTTGGGAACAGCAGGCTGGAGACTCAAAAACATTCTCTCTACATGACTCACCTTCCCACACTTCTGAACTACAGGCAAGATTTCTCCCAGCACCATGATGAAAGCAGAGGAATTTACTTTCAACAAGCAGATCTTTCTCACCCTCCAAAGCAACCATTCCAACTTTGTTCAACCAGCTACTATATTCATACTATTCAGGTCGGCTGATTTTTGGCAACAATTTCCGATATACTGGCATCACTGGTATATGGTGCCCAGAAACCCACCTATGCTTTCAATATTCATGTTTCTCTTTTTACCTTCCTTTGCATGCTAGGTATCTTAGACATGTTCAACAAAAGTTACATGTCAAGAAGGATGGGAGCAGGTTCATCAAATACAATCTGGACAGGGAAGGAATCTAGCAGGGAGCAGGCTGTATGCTTCAAGTTAATCAACTGAAGGGGAGTCCCCCTGGGTAGAATTTCCCTAGCACCAAGTGTTTTAACTCAATTTTCTGTACGTATAATTCTTTATTGGCCCTCTAAAGAAAAACAGGTTCAGCATCAATTCTTCTGTGAAAGCAACCCCGCTAGTTCAACCTATTTCTGTATCCCACAGCAATTCCTTTCCTGGGGATAACTTACATACAAACCTCACCAATAACAATTCATAGGTCACTGATTACTGTGTAGACAGTAGCAGGTGATTCTGGTCTGCGCTCATAACAACTATTTAAAAAGCTAGTTATAGTTATGTTGTTAATTTTAATAGTTGACATACTATACATATGGAAGCTTTTTAATATTGCAAGTATTCAGATTTCTTCTCGTAGCAGCCTCAAAATTATCACAGAAAATAAATGACATTCTAAAATGTGTAACTCTACATACCTGTCCATGACTAAAGGTAAACTTGTTCGATTCACTTCCCATGTCACAGTGGCGGGAGGATTTGCTGTTATTTTACAGGCAAATCGAGCTACTCCACCTTCTTGGACCTCAGTTGAAAGTGGCTGGACTTCAAATGCAGAAATGGCTAAAAACAAGAGAACATCGAATTTAAAGGACTAAAGTGAGGAAAAATTCCTGGCTAAACCAAACTCCAGATCATAGATCAACTTGCGAAAACACTCGGAAATACTGCAAATAGTTCTCTTTTCTACATGCAAAGAAAGGTGGGTCTAATTACCGTGTCAACTTTGCTTGATAGCATTGGTTGAAGGTTTACTTAAAATAACTTTGCTTTAACCTAATTCAATAAAAAAATGTTTCAATGAAAATTAAAATGACACTCTCAAATAGAATTAAGCATACAAAATGACTGGCATGCAGCTGGAAAGCATATCAATTATTAAACCAATGAAGTTCATGTCATTTCAACTAATTTGGGACTGGCCCCAAAATTTCCAAAACAACATTCAGTACCTGACAGTCATATTTTAGTCCTTTAATAATCCTGTTGTACAAGTTCATGTTTGGTAAGAAAAACAAATCAAAAACAAAAAAAATCTCAAAATAAGTTCAGTCATGCAAGAACACTTTCATCTCAACAGTCCAAGCAGTCACCAAGTAGACGCCTGATGCGCAGAGCATCAATATAATTTTGAGCATTTACAACTTAAGGACTTCACAAAATTGAGCCAACTGAAGTGGCAGATCAATAAATACCTTCCAGCTAACAGACACCTAAGAAATCGATCAGTGGTTGGATTTCTTTGCTCAGAAAATAAAAGCCAAAGGGAAATTAATACAAAACCCTCTAATTAATTGCTTAGTTACTGCTACTTACAACATAATTAACAGAAAGAACAACCCTTCAGAGGCACCTCCTTTTGGATAACTCACAACACAAATAATTCCACACCCATTTCCACCCCCTGAAACTGCAGAGGAAACAATCTCTGCATAAACTCAATGGTACTGATTTGTTTTTTTTTAAAAAACAGATTTCAAATAAATTTCTACCCTTGTATAAATTATACAGAAACATGATTTCAATAGATAAATCCATGTTAGTAAATTATCCATCTCTTAACATTCAAGCTTTGTGTTGAAAGAATTCCTCTATTTTCCTTGTTTACTGATTGAAATGGTTTTTTGTCCTATTTACTCTAATGTCTTCTCAATAATGCCCTTCTGCATAGAGGACACATCCAGCACTGATGCACACCAATGCTCCTCCCCTCCATCATTTTAATACTACTGCACAGCATCAACAGAGAAGATTGGCGTGTGAAGAAGTGTGACATCACCTGGCTGCTTTCCCCTCCACACACAAATTAACTCCTAACGTGGGCCTAACTACTGAGATTAAATATTCCTATTACTAGTATACCTATTTCACTTCCCAGGTCAACAATAATTCCTGCAGTAGCATCAGCGCTGCAGGATTGAGCGTTCCTAACCATACCAGCAGAGTGGAAGTGTTGCAGCTGTGTGAACAGACCTCCCAAAGATGGTGATTGACAAGACAACCGAACCGCCTTGTACAGCAAAATCACCTGAAGGCAGTTGCAAACACCTGATGCAAACACCGTGGCCATTGGAAACCACGCCTGGCACCTCAGATATGACTCAGGCTCCCAGGATGCAAGCAGAGATGTGTGACGTATCCATTTTTACGACCTGTCCCATGCTTTAGGCAGCAGGTCCCCACAGCCCCAAGACACTCTGCAGTCGGCTCCCTGCCCACCTGCACCACGGACAGAATTTAACCCAGCTCCCTGTGTTCCACTTTTTGTTTTCCTTCACTTTTGAGCAGTACCAGGTTCAAGAACAAACAAACAAAACCCCACAACTTGCGTAAAGATGTTCACAACAGAAGCCTTCCATTTAAAGCCTGTTAGGGGAGACATTAAAACAGTTCTCTCCTCAAACAGGTTTCCTTTTGATTGCTAAACAATCATCAGAAGAAAAAAAGAGACTTAATAGCATTCTTCATTTATTTACTGAAAGTATGACGTAGCAAACGAGGCAAGTCTGCTTAGCTTTCAAAATAAAATCTGTAGGAATGCAATGAAGGCATAGATAGTAAGAACAACACAAATCAACATAAGGCAAGTTTCAGAGCCATCATGTAGCACAGTCAGTAGCATAAGGAAGGACCATTATAATAAAGCAGAAAGGTAATTATACAGTCTTATTGAAGCAAAGCTCTTACACACCTTTCAAAGGTTCGTCTCCATAGGAACTATAAAATCACACTCAAGATTTTCTCATATTGGTAGGATTATTTAAAGGCATGGAGTGAGACAACAGAAACACCATACTTGGTTTTAATTTATGTATATAAAAAAAATTCTTTATTTCCATGCATCTGCTACATTATAGCTGAAGACAGAAGTGAGACTCTCAAGAACTACAAAAGAAACTGAGGAAAATTAGTATTTCACAGAGCACAAAACATCATAATGATAGCAAGCAAGAATAGATTCAGCTATACTATTTAGAAAATCCAATACAAGTTGTTAATTGAAGCGGCTATTTAAAGAACATTTTTCCACCTGAGCAAGAACAACATATTTCCTCAGCAAATTAATCTTTAAAGATAGCAAAAGTCAGAACTACGCAGAACTGCACCATCTCTTCACAAAAACTCATTAATGTCACTAAATGTGGTTTTAGAAACAAAAAATACCCACTCACCTCTCATCTAAATTTATGCATTGGTTATCAATTCAGCTCAATAGTTTCTCCTTCTGTACGTTGCTTCTTTATGCAAATCTCTGGTTTCTTCTTAATTCTGACTTTATTTGTTCCAGTAAAATTTGTTTTTACAAGTCTATTGCTGTCTCGTGAAACCTGACCTCTTTGTAACAGGCTTGTTTTCACGGCAAGCACTGATACCAGCTCAGAACCCCGAGAACAGGTCATTAAAGCAGTGCTGTTAAGAGGCCAGAGCTCTATAAACTGGATAAGAAACAAAGTCTCAAGAGACATACGTTGTTCCTGAAAACAACCCTGCAAAACGCAATAAATGTAAGTGCCTTTTTATTTGAGTTTTCCCCCCTCTCCTCCAATCTATTTAATAATTTTGTTCTCAGATTTATAGGACAAAGAAAACAATTAATGTTACTCCAAGAAGCTGATGCTTCCACCCTTTCTAACTTGCAATATCCCAAACGCTGCTTACAGAAGAAGAAAACAATAGCTAGAAACTGTATTTACTTTTATAAATACCTGCAATCTATGTGATAGGAACATGTGTTTGTATAGTTACTTTTGAGTAGGAATATGTTTACATTTGATGGCATAAAACACAGTTCTGTCCAATAAAGTTATCTATGCAGGGAGAAATCAGAGCTCAGTTTTGCTGAGTTCCCTTGTTTACCATCAAGGCAAATATCCACAGGCTCAAAAACCAAATGATTTCTTGCTTTCACATGCTGAGTAAGTGTTAGAGAACTACTGCTGGTGTCTCCTGCACATGGATTGAATGCTACCCAGCATGCATACAAAAAAAATTTGTGATTAAGGTAAAAAAAAAGGAAACTTAAGGAGCTCATCCCTCACACCTTTTTTTTTTTTCTTAAATACAGCAGCAGTCCTTCACTCACTTTGATTTGATAAATAATGAGAAACGAAGAAAAACAACACACACACACACACACTTCATTCAGTCCTGAAATGAAGTCCCAAAGCTCATGCAAACACAAGTCCGGGGGACTTTTTCCCTTACATGCTGCACCTCCTACTCGCATGCTGTGTGTCATTAAGTGACTTTCTGAATGAGCTTTCTTAAGAGGCAAAAGAAATTCCAAAAACCTACACGTTTATTATTGCTAAAGCTTGCTGGTTTCACACAGCCGACTCTAGCCCAAGACTTGACTGCAACTGTATAATAAAGAAACCGAAAGAATGGAAGATAAAACCCCTGAACTGAAACTACTCCCTGAACAGAAACAGTGGCACAGAATTGGGTTTCAGCTAACCAGAAAGCAGCAGATATTGGGAAACTCTCCAGCACATGATACTGTCCACTTAAGTGTTTCTCAAGACACAATGGCCACTCAGAGAGATGAGCTGCTCAGGTGGAAAGAAGAAAAGTGCATAATGCCATCTGTAGAACTTACATGTTAACGCTATTGAGGATTACAAAATAGCCCTAAACCCTTCAAATGAAACTAAGATTTTTTTTTTTTCCTTTTTTTTAAATACTCAGGTGAAGAGGTTTCACTTGAGAAAAATAAACTCATAGATTAAAAAAAAAAGCTATGGCTTTTTCCAAAGAAATGGAGTTCAGGACACCACATGACAAATTTAATACTGAATTTTCTCTTCCTGATCTGGTTTTCGTGATGCTCTCTCCCTCTTAAACAGTGTTTAAAAATGCAACAAATATACACGTGTATTAGATTTTAGTACCGAAGCCAACTTGGACATATTTTCCTGGAGTTTAGTCCGATTTCCCAGGAGCAAGGCTTAAAACAGATGATGAATGGAGTTCTACCATGCCTTTCAGCTATATGGACATATATTTCCAAATGGTTTGCTACTCAAATAGCACAGTCTGGATCTGGATTGGGACTAACCTTCACATGAGTACTGACAGATCCAGACATGCGGCAAGACTACAGACATACAGCTATTCTCCCCATTTCTGATGAAGCAGTTGGAGCAGGCAGAGCTGGAGCTGGTGTAAAGTGATCTAATGGGTGGATCTTTGCTGGGTTTCCCAGCAGATAGTAGTACAAATTAAATAACATACTTTGGAGCTCAAGTTCTGCTTAGTACATACAGTTCGGAGGTGAATGCCACACAAATGGAGCAATATAGGTAAAGTTTTTAATAACTGTAAGGGAAAAGGGATTCCTATGAATGGGCATTCTGTACGTGCTGCCACAAGGACAGTGATTTCCTCCATTCACCCGTAAAATTTTAATCATGTTGTTTGACCTAGAATTATCATTTTTAAAATGTGAGGCATAAAAATGAGAGATTTCAGGAGAAAACAGAACCTGACCCGTAAGGAAATATAAAAGAGCTCTGACCTGGTTAGCCCAGGGAAAGGAAACTGAAAAGTGACCGTCCCCCAAA